GGTGCCGGTGCCTCCCCTCTGTCCTTGGAGTGGTGCCGGCGCCCGCCACCATCGCGCCGCTCCCGTCTCCGCAGGGGGCTGCCGCCGCGCGTGGCCTGGGACGAGCCGCAGCGCTGCCGCCTGCTCGCGGGCACCGTGCCCGCCCAGGTGCCCTTGTGCCGCAGGAACCTGGAGCTCATGCCCAGCGTCGCGCGCGCCGCCGCCGCCACCAAGAGCGCCTGCCAGGGCGCCTTCGCCGCGGCGCGCTGGAACTGCTCCTCCATCGAGCGCGCGCCCGCCTTCGCGCCCGACCTGCGGCGAGGTGAGCGCGGCGCCCCGCGCAGCGCGGGCCGTTCTGCTCTGTTCGATGYGCAGCGATTCCTCGCAGGAAACTTGCTGCTGTTGCCCTGGGGGACTTAGATGGGGACCTGCCCGGGGTGCTCTGCAGGAGTGTGGCAGAGTAACCCTGGTCTGGGGAAAAACCCATCGCTAGAGGCGCTGACAAAGAGGGGAGAGCTCTAATCCAGCAGAACCAGGCGCTATATAATAAGTGGATAATATAAAAGGGACCACAGGTTAAATATATGCAGCGCAGGAGAAATGTGTTAGGCCTAATCTTTATTTTATGGCAAGAAAGAAGGTAGCATTTGCATGGAAATGATTCTTGGGCATATAGCAGCGTTCACCAAGGACAGGCGGCATCGGAGACATATGAAAAAGCCCAGCAAAAGGTGCAGGTGGGGACAGGGGTGCATTGCAGAGCTGTGATGGGCCCTAAAACTGCTTGAGTCAGATGGGGGAGAAAAAGGGAAAAGCCTGGGGCGGCCGTGYGGAGCCAGCCTGGGAGGTGTCGGGTGGACGTGCGGGCCCAGGCCCCGGGCGGCAGGGACGAGAGCCCAGGGAAGCCGTGCGGGAGGCTGCGTTTGTGCCCAGACCTCTCCGTGGTCTCAGCTCTCAGTGGTGGTGGGCAGGAACGGAGCCGGTGGCGGGTGACTTGCTTGGCGCCCGGGAGCCGCTGGCGCCGCAAGGCTTTGGTGTGTCCAGGCGGCGCGATGCATTTTTGCCCTTTGCCTTGCAGGAACCAGGGAATCTGCCTTCGTGCACGCGCTGGCCGCGGCCGCCGTGGCGCACGGGATCGCACGGGCCTGTGCCTCCGGGGAGCTGCCGCTGTGCTCCTGCGCGTCCAGCCCTGCCGAGGAGCCGGCGCCCGGCTCCCGCTGGGGCGGCTGCGCCGACAACGTGCGCTACGGCCTCCAGCTGGGCGCCGCTTTTGCCGACAGCACCCTCGTGTCCGGCAAGGCGGGGAGGCAGGCGAGCCAGGCCGTGCGGCTGCACAACAGCGCAGTGGGACGGCAGGTGGGTCCGCGACGGGGACCCCTGGTGACAGGGACTCCTGGTGATGGGGACCCCCGGTGACRGGGACCCCCAGTGATGGGGACACCCGGTGATGCTGCCCACCCGTCCTGGAGCCTCGCGGGGCTGTGGGCTCGTCTGTGCTACTGGGATCCCGTCCTTAAAGACGGCAGGGAACTAACTCCATTGCTAAAGGGAGCTGCGTCTGTCGCAGACACGCACGTGCCTGCATCCCAATCGYCCTTATGCATTTGGGGAGGTATTGGTGATTTTATGCTGCGTCTTTACGCCCGTGGAAAGCAGAGGCCATCCATGCTGGGGGGCTGCTCTGCTCTGAGCGGTGCCCCTCACATGCTGAGAACTGCAAATTCCTGGGCACCCACCAGCCCCACATTGGCACTGGCCACCTCCGTGCCCAGCGCATGGAAGTTCAGGAAGCGCCTGGCTCCACCGCAGGCTCCAGCTGTTTTTCTCCCAGAGGTTACACTCTTATCACTAGTGGAATGACCAGGGCTGAGGCCTTGGTTGCCCCGTTTGTTCACTGCAAGGGAAGCGTGCTCTTGGTGCCCCAGTAGCATTGATTCCTTTTGCCTTCAAATGGATTGCTTAGAGAAAGGGTTTTTTGGGGGAAAAGCAGTTTCTCAGGTGCYGGAAAGCAGCAGCTTTTCCATCTCTCGGAGGCTCCTGTGGATGCTCTTGTAGCTAAATCAGTACAGCGCTGGGCGGGAGAAGGCAAATGTAAATTCACGTTTTCCTGCATCCTGCAGGTGCTGAGCGACTCCTTGGAAACCAAGTGCAAATGCCACGGTGTTTCGGGCTCCTGCTCCGTCAAGACCTGCTGGAAAGGCCTGCGCAGCCTGGCTGACATTGCCTCCGACCTCAAAGCCAAGTACCTGGCAGCCATCAAGGTGACCCACCGGCTCCTGGGGCCCAGGAAGCAGCTCGTACCCAAGGACACGGCCACGAGGCTGGTGCAGGAGACTGACCTGGTCTATCTGGCCAACTCCCCAGACTACTGCACCGTGAATCCCCAGCTGGGCTCCCTGGGGACACACGATAGGTAAGAAACTACAAACAGGCAGTAAAGGGGCCCCCGAAACGGAGAGCTTCGTTACGCGCGTGCAACCAGAAACACCCTCCGATAGCGTCTGCAGCCGCCGGCGCAGGGACTGTGGGTGCCACAGCKTTGTGCAGGCAGCCAGGGGAGGTCGGCAGCTGCGGCCTCCATGGAGCTGTGTGGGATTCGAGGCAAGTGGGAGGCCGGGAGGCCGTGGCTGAGAGCTCAGCCCGCTCCAGGGCAGGATCCGTTTCCGTGAGCGCAGTCAGGAAGGGAGAATCTCCTCTCCCTGCCAACCTGTGGGTGCTGCAAGCCCTGCCCAGGGCGGGAAGGTGCGCGGAGCCCACGGTGCTTCCCGCAGCTCCTCTTTTTGGCAGCATTTGCGTGGGGCGGCGTGGTCTGGCAGGGTGGGGAAGCGCAGCAGGAAGGCCGCGCCGCGGGCCGGCCCTGCAGGCCCCGCTGGCTGCAGCAAGGGCAGAAGTCAGCGGCGCCGCCGCCCGCTCCCTTCCGCGCCGCAAGTCCCCRCGGCAGCGTCAGACGGCGCGTGTCCAGCCCGGGCGCAGCTGTGTTTGCAGCGCGCCGCTCGCACTGTCATGGCAACACGCGCAGGAATCAGCCCCACTTAGTGCCTTCCTGCTCTCCCCTCTCTTGCCGCCTCTCACCACGGCAGGAGGCCGGGCGGCCGCGTCCCTTCTCCGGGTTACCCCGTGTCCCCACTCCCGCCGGCAGGCAGTGCAACAAGACGTCGGCGGGCAGCGACGGCTGCGACGTGCTCTGCTGCGGCCGGGGCTACAACACCTACACGGAGGAGGTGCTGGAGCGCTGTCACTGCAAGTACCGCTGGTGCTGCTACGTGGCGTGCAGGACGTGCCGGCGCACGGTGCAGAGACACGTGTGTAAATAGCGGCGTGCCCGCGGCGGCACCGGGCTGCAAGGCCGGGYTGCGAGGCCAGGCTGCAAGGCCGGGCTCTGGCCATGTCCTGTGGACCCCAAAGCAAGGGGCAAGGGGAGCCCGGAGCCCGGGCAACCTCTCCTGCCTCTCTGCAGAGCGACACAAAGGGCTGCCCTTCTGTGGCTGCTCGGGAGCATCCAGCCCTCTGTGTCCTGCTGGGGACAGGCCATTTGTCACTCTGCCTGCAAAGCCCTTTTCTCCGGGGGGGAATGGGGACCCTGGGCTGCCATTGTCTCTCGGCAGGAGGTTTTTGACAGTGGCCTGAAAACTCGGAGTGATGGATGGGGAGGAGGGTGAGGAGCTGTCCACAGGGAGAGGGCTGCAGGGGGAGAAGAAAGCGGCTGCTTGGGGTGAGCGGGTCATGGGCAGCTGCTCCGGGGGGCAGGTTTCTGCTGTGGGCTCACCCCACACCACTAAATGTTCTTCCTCAGGGGCAGATAGTTGTCCTGTGTCTTTGAAAGCCTCTGAAATGCAGGCTGTGTTTGGACACAGAGAGAAGCAGTTCTTGCTGCGGGAGGCTCATCAATCTTCTCCAAGGCCCGCGTGGAGCTGGCTCCTGCTCAGTAATGTCTGTGCCCGCGGGGCCGTGGGCAGGAGGGTCCCGCGGGCCAACCCGGCAGGTTGGCRCCGCAAGGCCGCACACGGCGCTCTGGCGCTAAGGGAACAACCAGGGCAGCCCCGCACGTTGTGCCCTCTGAGCCCGTTCAGCAACGTGTCCTCTCCCCCTTCTGCCTCTTCCATCGGGATGTTCAGCCTCTTCCCCAGCCTTCTTCCAGGACGCTGGGTGTGCTGGCTCCCTGGCCTGGAGAGAGGACGGGTCTGCAGAGGGCGAGGAGGAGAGGAGAACGAGCCCTTCGTCTCTGTACTTGCCTATTTAACGGAGGTGGGATTCTGCTGTGTGTTCCCTTAAATAAACATATTACAGCATCTCATCTGGCGACAGACCTACATGCTTCCTAGGACAGCCTCAATCCTCCGCTGTGTTGAGTGGCCATGGGGAAAAGGAGGCTCTACAGAGAGCACAGCACCGTGTCTGCACCATTTCCGCACTCCACACAGTGGTGCCATGACCTGCACAGCAGAGAACTGGTTCTCTTCTAAGAGGTGTTTTATTCTTGTTGCTGCTTGTTGGACCAGCTTTGCTTTTAAGCAGCAGTTACACCCATTAAAAAAAAAAAAAAACAAAAACAAACAAACAAAAAAACCTTATGGAAAGCTTCCCTGGGTGCCTGACCAAGAAGATGAGAGCTCAGCCTTCTGGGGTTTAGTTTTCTTAGCCAGGAACTAAAGAAATAGGTTTTTATTTTCTCCTCCTTGTGATCATGGGCTGGACTGTGTGTGTGAACAGCAATAAGTCGGAGATCACAGCACGGGGGGCCTGTTGTACCTCTTCCTTCCCTCTGTTGCCCCGAGTTATTCTAGCACTGARGCTGGCCAAGTGTTTGCATGGAATAAGAGATCCCAGGTCTTGCAGGCTTTGGAAAGAGAGGACGAGTCTAAACACGTGCTCAGGAAAAGCTGCAGCAGGAGGAATACAGGTAAATGTGACTGAAATCCTAAGACAATTCCCTGCAGTTCATGACCTGGGGACCCTGGTGGCTTTGCATGCAGCTTGTTTTATTTGTGGCTTGCATTGAATGGAATTGGCCGTGTTCAGCCCTGGGTCCAGCTGTAAGATTACTCATTTCCATATTCACTCAATCATTTTAATAGCCTCTGCCGGGTCACGGAATCAATTCATAGGCTTTTATTGTAAATTGTCCCCATTTAATGTGCTCCAGGTTTCTATATTAAGAGCTGAGAGTCAAAGGTGCTTTGAGACAAGCCTGGGAGCTGGAAGGGGAAATGCTCAAGGGTGAAGCATACGCTCACATAGTTAGCCGAGTGAGYTAACTGTCATTATCAGTTGTTAATGTGCCATCGACTCCATCAGGCTGCTGGCACCAGGCCTTCCCGGAGTGACTGCAGAGCCGCAGCTGCAAGGCGTCCGCGCAGCTGCAAGGCCAAGAGCCCTCGCTCCAGCCTGCCTTTTAAWGTGCAATTAGGAGTTAGTCCCCAACGTTCCTCAGAAAAGGGGAGGCTTCAAGCTGCAAAATGGGYAAGCTTTTGCTCCCAGAGCCAGGCTAGGTGGGGAGGTCATGCAGGTGCTTAATTAGGAGGATTGCTTAAATACCTTCTCTACAGCCCCTCTGTGTTCCTTGGCAGATCAGAGGGAGGTGGAACTGGGAGGGGCTGGGAAGTCCACAGAGCTTTGCAAAGGACCTGTGAGAAAAAAAGCAGGAGAAGGATGTTTTGGAGTGAAAGATTGGGCCAGGAGGGTGAGGAATGCGATTTGCATTTGGTAACTACAAACATACATAGCCTGGGATAGAGGGGAGAGCTACAATAGCTAGGAATACCCTGGGGAGGTGTTGAGGTCCCCTCCTACAGAGGTCCTATTTGAATTTCTGCCTGGGAAAAGGCAGGGTCAAGTGCTGAATATGCAGAGTCCTCTCCTTCCCTCCCTACTTGCATTTTGACTGCCAGCCCAACAGGGAAGGATTGGGAAAGGACTGGAGGGGTCATTTGGCAGGAAGATGCTGAGCACTGTCTTGGAGGAAATTGGAAAGCACTGTAATTAGCTGAATGATGCAAAGGAGCAGGCTGACAGGAAGGACTGCGGTGGGGAGAGCGCAGTCCAATGGCAATGGCTCCACAGGGAGGTGTTGTAATGCTGGGCCCACATCTGCAATTACCAGCCTTGTGAGATCTGCTAGACCGGGAGAGTCTCCCAGGGGCCAAGAGCCAGCACAAGGCAAGGAATACTGAAAGAGGGACCCAGAAGGARTAAACCACATGCTTGAGGGGATCCATCTGACAAGGCATTTTCTATCTCTAACCCTGCCTGGACAGAAATGCCGGTAGGAAGTTGTCAGGGAGCATAGAGCCTCTTTCCCCTGCTCAGGCTGGTGCAAAACCCCTCTGAGCTAGAAGAAGGAAGCAACCTGAATGGGGATGTTGGCCTTTGGTGGCTTCCATGCTCTCAGTGTACTACCTTCTGCCAGAGAAGTCAGAGCACGGGGCTTTCACTCCAAACCACTATAGCTTCTAGTATTCTATCTATATCTAGTAACCCTACACCAGAAAGGTAGCACTGTCCATGTAACTGAGCTCCTTGTAATGCTTGTGGCTTTGCAACCCTTGAGATATTTTCAAAAAAATATATATTTCTTTATGCATAGAGGGATGTTCAACAAATTATTCTGGGAAGATAACCCGAGCGAGGGCAAATAGCTACTGGTTAATAAGAGTTTTGAGGGTGTATGACTGTTCAAGARCACGTTGTGATGCTTCTTCCCTACGCTGCGAGGCTGCAGCTGTGACAGGAGACTGGGTTGGGGCTTTCACCTGCAGCAGCTCCTTGACTAAGACAAAAGCTGAGCCAGAATGAAGAGAAGGTTTGGGATGGCATCGCTGCCTGGGGGCTCAGCGGTCAACCAGCATCTACAGTGCTTTAGGTATTGGGGGGATATTGCTTTGACCTAAATAATAGCATCTGCTTGGTGTGCATTCCTGAGGAAACTGCCTCCAAAGGCAGCCAGAAGGTGAGTTTTGCAGGGAAGGGTGTGCAGAATGGTCTCAGCTCCAAAGCAGAGACCAACTTAGGCCAAGGAGCTGCCTTAGGGCCACCATGCAAGGGGGGTTTTCCAGACACATCCCTTGCCAAACTCAGTCTGCTCAGGCTTTGAGGACTTTCTCAGACTATGTTTATGTCGCTCATAACCATTGTGCATGTGCTGGTGGTAACGTGAGGAATTTCCACGCTGCAGGCTGGCCGGTGCCGCCTTTGTGTGTGCTGTGCTGTAGGGCCACATGCAGAAGCTCTAACACCTCTTGGAACATGGACAGTGCTCTTCGAAAGCATTGGACAGACCTTCTGGATGTGCAAAGCCAGTTCTGCACATGGGCATTAAATGGCACTAAATGGGGGCATTAAATGGGGCCACACTGTGGTGGTCCTGATTTTACTACCTATGTGATGGAAAGCACATGGATTTGTTTCAGTCTGGGAAACGATGAGTGGAAATGTAGGACACTGCAGAACCTGAGGTGAGACTGGTCCCTGGACATCAGCTTCATGATGAAAACCTAATACATCAAGACACCTGGTAGAGCTGGAGGGTGGGAGACATTGATCCCCTGCTTGTCAACCCCCAGGAACTCCCCCTTTCCACATACAGTGAACTAGTCACAGCACCTATTCCTGCAGTCCCCAACCTGAGCCTCATTAAAGATTAAACGGAGATTTCCGATGGGAAAGGTGATCTCTGACCTGCTCGGAGAACCTCTGGATAACGCATAGGGTGAGGGAGTTCACTCCGGCAGCCTCTTTCACTCTGATCCTTCAGCCAAAAGTGCTGTTGAAATCTTGGCCCTTAGTTACAAGGGGTGATGATTTGATAGGTTTATTGCAGCTTTTAATTAATCCATGTGTAAGGGGAACACGCTGTATTGATAGTGGCATTGCCTTTTTGTTGAAAGGGAACTAGTAATTGCTGGGGGTGTCGCAGTGTTTTGTGTCAGGGAAGAACAGGCGGCTGTTGATTCCTGGCTCCATTCTGCTTCCAATAATTACATTAATTAATTTTCCCACTGCTGGACAGAGTGTTTTTCTTCACTTCCTGCCCGCTTTGCGGGAATACCACATAACGACGTGCAAAACTGTTGACATATCTGGCAGTACTGGTGTTTGTGTTTGCAGGCATGAACAGAACGGTCCCACAGAGAAGATGGCAGGACAGTAAAACCAAGGGGGGCCTCTTCAGAACAAAGCGCCCTGCAACCTAAACTCACAACTGTTTTTTTATAATTAACTTTTTATCAAACTTCCCCCCGATTGCAGGAAGAAAATAAATACAATAGATGATAAACTGAAGCATTCTAGTAGGTTAATTGCTTCAGGTCTCCCCTGGATTACTCTTGCACCACGTGAGTTTTTCACAGCTAGGTCAATTACTTTTATTGCACTTCTTATGGGCGAGTGTCAGCTTATAAATGTCCAACTGTAACTCTTATCTGTCTTATGCTGTATGCTTTAGTTTCGATACTGTAATAAAAAGCTCGGGCAGCTAAAAACAAGGAAAAGTGAATTGCTTTGAGAGAGAGAGAGGCTGAATTGAGGGATATTTAGAGGGTATTAGAGCAAAAGCCAAATGGGAGGTAGTCACATGAGATTTTTTGGAAAATCCAGGTCCTCCTGGTTTAGGATGGTGAGCTTGAGCGAGCTAGTATTTAATGTTACCTACAGAGCAGTCTCCAAGGCCTAAAACCAGGCGGATAATGGTTGTTATAGGCAGGTGGATCCCATTAGCGAGCGGCGCCGCGCGCGCTCCCCTCACGGCCCTGCCCCTACCAAGATGGCGGCGCGGCCCGGCGCCGCCACTGAGATGGCGGCCGGAAGGAGGAGGGGGCGGGCCACGCGGGAGGCGGCGGCGCAAGATGGCGGAGGGCGCCGAGGCGGAGGCGCCGCGGCTGGCCGAGCTGCTGGCCACGGGCTGGCGCCTCTGGGAGGAGGTGGAGGCCGGCACCGAGCCCTCCTCGTCGGCGCCGGCCGTGCAGGACAAGGTGCGGCGCGGGCTGGAGGCGCTGCAGCAGGCGGCCAACATGGTGGCGCAGCTGGAGCTGTTCAGGTGAGGGGCGAGGCGGGCCGCGCGCCGCGGGCGGGCGGGCGGGCGGGCGCGGGACAGTCGCCTGTGTCGCCCCGCAGCGAGAACGAGGAGCTGGAGGAGATCGCCTCGGCCGACCTGCGCTACCTGCTGCTGCCCGCGCTGCTGGGCGCGCTCACGCTGCGGCAGGCCGGGCAGGGCCAGCGGCTGGAGCACCTGGAGAGCGCCCGGCGCCACCTCGCCCGCTTCCTGCGCCTCTGCAAGGCCTACGGCCTGGGCGCCTTCGCCCTGCCCGCCGACAGCCCCGCGCCCGACGACGGCCCCGCGCCGCCCGCCGGCCTCGTGGCCATGGCCTCGGCGCGCCACGCCAAGATCGAGAGGTAGGTGCGGGTCCGCGGGCCCCGAGCGGCCCTCTTGGCACCGCGCCTCGGCTCTGCCCGCTTGGTGGAGAGGAGACGCACAGCTTGACTTTCCTGTCCTTTTTTTATATATTATATATATATATATGCATATGCATATATATATATGGTGCATATATATATATCTATATATGTTGCACAAGCCTATATATATATATATATAAAGGCTTGTGCTTTATATATATATATATATATATATATAAAAAAAGGCTATCTATATATATAGATATATATATGCGCACCATATATATATATGCGCACCATATATATATATGCGCACCATATATATATAGATATAGATATATATAGCACAAGCCTTCCTCGCTGTTAGGCCTTTAGTCACTAGCTGTATGAAGCCACACACTGGAATTTATTTAGTTATTTATAATTTTACCAATGAACTTATCAATACACCTTTAGTAAAGTCATAGAAAGCCTCTTCATGCTCTGCTCTAAGGCTTTTGGTAATAAAGTCGCTGCCTGCTGTAGCAGAATTGAAAGGCCCCACTCGCCTCAAGGAGGACTCGCCTCGCACAAGGGTGGCACGTGGTTCCTGTGCTCATAAGCAGGTAAATGAACCAGGTTTGGGGTAGGAGAGTTTAGGGCAAGCATTGGCAATCCTGTCATGGTGTGTGAGCCAGCCGGGAGCGAGCATGGCCGCCCGGCACCGTCCACCCTGGGGAGAACTGGAGGTGCCGGTGTTAAAATGGATTTGGGGTGAAAGGTAGCTCTTCAGCCACCTTGACATGATTTTGAGAATTACCAAGTTGCTCATTTTAGAGAAAACAGTGTCTGGGTTATGCTAAGAAAACTTAGATGATCTTCTTGCTTTTTTCCTCCGTGAGCCAGATATAAGCAGAAGAAGGAACTGGAGAACAGGTTGGCCTCTATGAAAACCTTTGTGGAGAGTGGGCAAGCAGATGATSATCAGATGCGAGAATTTTACCTCCTGCAAATCCAGAAATGGATCCACATCAGCCTCGAGGAAATTGAGAGTATTGACCAAGAAATGGTCATTTTAAAGAGCAGAGGTACAATAAAACAGGTACGAGATCTCTCTTGAACTGCACGTCCTGTGGGCTGTGGTTACTTAGACCCCATGATAGATGCTGTTGTGAATAAATCTGTGAGTAAATGATCCTCAGAAGCAGAGTTTTATTCTATGAAGTTCTAGATTAAAATCTAGCTCACATACAACCTAAATGGATAGGGTTTTTTTGTGTGTGTGTGTCGCTAATGCCGCCACATGTCCTAGCCTGGGCTGTTTTGCTGCTCTACGCCCTGTATACAGTTCTAGCTTAGGAAATGTCACATTTCAGGAATGCCTGTTGTGAGTGACTGAAGCTACTTGTGAGCCTGTTGTGTAGACCAGTGTTTGTGGCCTTTATGCTGCACACCTAAATGCCTGTCGGGAGTTAAAAATTCATAATGTGCCATACCCTTGGCTTGTTGATGCGACTTATTTGTGCAGCTTGTTATCTAGCACTGTAGAGGTCTGCTTTCCTGTAGTGCCCAGAGGATAACCTCGTTGCAAGTGATAATTCTACTTGCTGCAGAAAATGCTGTTTGAGCCCTGCAGTCAGGGTTGAATAACAAGCTGCCCTTCGTGCTAGGATCTGAGCAGAGCTGATCAAAACACAAAGCTGACCAGGATAAACCAGAACTGATAGAACAGAGGCACTAATAGAAGTTATTTGTAGAAACTCACAGATAGAATTCATGATTTACACTGCATTAGGGCCCGATTTGCACATCTCACGATATTGCTCTGATGGCAGAGGTATTTATCATCCACGAGACCTTTAATAACTTGTTTGGGATGGAAAGAAGGGGGCTGCCATCTCCATGATTATCCTCTGACTCTTGTTTGCAACTTCAGTCTTCAGCACCACCACATGGCACTTCTCGGCAAGTCAGGGCTCCATTGAAACCTTTCATTCTCACCCGGGATGCTGCTCAGGCTAAGTATGTTGTTTTTTGATTACTTGGACATGGTGTGATGCAGTGCTCTTTCATATCACCCTTAGGATACTTTTTCCGATGTGGAAAGCCATAAGAACAGTGCCACATCAAGATGTGGGCTGTGTTGTATCTCTGGGGCAGAGGATGCAGGGAGCCCTCAGTTTATTTCCTCCACCTTCTCTGTAATGTCACAGCATGCTGCAGTGTCTTTATTAATGCTGTTTCTTTAGCAGGAGAGAAGCCTGTAGGAGTCAAATATGGCTGTGCTCCTTGACCGCATGTCTGCTGTTAGTTAGATGTGGAGAGGCGAGGCTTATCTCCCCCCCTGAACCTCTGTGTGATACAACAGGGTTGTTCTTCACTCTTTAAGAACCTGGTGGTAAAAAGCACATGTGGTGTCTGTTAATCTGATGTGCACTCTGGAGGATTTCAGTGAATTCAAATAAGTGATATTAGTGGCTAGGGGGATGTGATACCTACCAGAGATCCACCAGGAACGAGAGCCTGTTATTTACAGCTTTTGGTGAAGCTCTTCCTAGGGCGTTGAGATCTTGGCGCTTTTTGGCACTGTCAGGTTCTTGTAAATACTATGGCAGTTAAAGCACAAAATGGAGTAGAAACAAGGTTTCTTGTCATACTTCTGACATAACAAGTCCTGAGCCTTCAGTCTATCTGTTGAGCTGAGTGTTGCCCAGTCTGTGGCCTCTGTGGCAAGTTAGACTAGCAGAGAACTTTCTCATTTCAACAGAAGTGCTTCAAGGCCTTCGCAGTAGAACAGTGTTTCTTCCTCTAAACTTACTRGATGAGCTGTTTAAATACTGTTACAGCCGGGTTACTGGCAGGCCTGTTGCTGGAGGCCCAAACCCTAGAAATAGAGCTAGTCCCAAGCCATCCATGACGACACATCTCCTATTACAGTACAAATTGGGGCAAGGAGCATTTCTGTGTGTCGTTATCTGTGTCTCTTCGTTGGTAAGAATACATAAAGTGCATTTCTTGACTCTTTCTTCCCGTAGAGTGTTTGGTGCTGGATATCCTGGCGTGCCAACTATGACAGTGGATGATTGGTATGAGCAGCGCAGGAGGCAAGGGGTCATGCCTGGCCAGAGTGTCCCTCAGAGAACACCAGGTATGGGGGGAGAGTAAAATTTGACATAGAGAATTCGGGAACCAGCGCCAGGGGAAGAGTGAATGGGGATATGTTCAAGATGCAAAACAGGGACTGATAAAGAGAGAACAAACTTCCCGTGTGACCCTGCGGGAGTAGCTGGATTGTGACTGCTGTTGGTTGATGGTTCCTGGTTTCTCTCTGTGCTAGCGTCCAGGCGGCTTCTGTCCTGGGGACTGGGCTAGTGATCCTCCACCTCCTTTCTTTCATTCTTGCCCTACAGCAGGTATAAATGATGAAGAACTGCAGAAGAAGCAGCAGGAGAAAAAAGAGGAAGAGGACGATGAGGAAGCTCTTCAAAAAGCTCGGAACTGGGATGACTGGAAAGACACGCACCCAAAAGGCTATGGCAACAGACAGAATATGGGCTGACACTCCAGCAGCGGGGGAACTAGGGCTTGGAAATCCTGCAAGAATGCCTATGTCCTGGAGATGTAGGAGCAAAATACACTGTACATATGCAGAGGTATCCTTGACTTCTTTGGGAGTCACCGGAGTCCGAGGAGTGAACAGGACAGTTTTGTTTTGGTTTACGTAAGTGCCAGTCTCAGAGTGCGCTTGTCATGTGCAGCGCTAACGCAGAAGCTCTTGTCGAGCAGAGCTCGTTCTGGGGGATCCGTCTACCTCTGCTCTCCCATGCAGAGGCAGTCCTCGAGAGAAAGAACATGAGTCTGAAAACAAATCTTTGTACTGTTGGTGGATGTATTTATTTTTTTCTCTATATTTTAAACAAAATAAACCTCTTGTCCTGACTAGTTCTTGCTGCAAAATCCTTTGCTTTTTGTCCTAGGTTCTTCTACAGCAGTCTTGTAAGGATGGCTTCCAGCAACCAGAAGAGCTGAGGACAGGAAAAGGAATTGTCGGGTGGTCTGTTCCAGGGAGTATTTTCAACCGGGGCTTTTGGACATGACGGCTTTGCTGCCGTGTTGGTACTTGGCAAAGGGGTCCTGGGCAGCCAGGTGTATTGGGGGCCTTTCCACAGCCTCATCCCTTCCTTCTTCCCTAAGTGGCAGACAAAGGTGGTTTCGGTTTCTGTATGTTAAGGAGCTCGGGTGTTTCAAAGGCTGTGTTGCGAATTGTTGATAACCCACATAGTACAAACACCATAATAGAAATGTCTGTCCTTTCACTTAGTGTAATAGGGACATTTTGTGACTATAACATCATATAATATACATTAAAATATAAAAATTTGTGCATGTGTGCTCACCCAACTTAGTGTACTATGGGGCGAAACCTGGCAGAAATAGTGGCGTGTTCAAGAGAGGGGTAGTGCACTGGCTGCCAGGACCTGTACAGAGCAGCCCTGTTGTGGTGAAAACGCTGCCTGGGCTCCCCTGACGCCAGTGTAAGCAGCTGCTGTTGATGATCCTCAACCGACACGTCGTGTGTGTTGCCCCCAGCAGGCCCCAAGGTGTTCGCTGCTGGGCTTCGGAGGTGCAGTCAGGGAGGTTCGTACGCAGACTTCTTCCTTGTCTTCAGGGATGATGATAAAAAGAGGCTCTATGTTTTTCCTTCCTGCTAACAGGATTGAGGCTCAGCTTGGGGACGAGCAGGGCTGCAGGGGAGTTTAGACATTTTATACTTGGCAGGATGAAGCAATCTCGGCTCCTCTGAACTGATCCCTGTTTGTGAAGCTGTGGCCTGCAGTGGATGCTGTTATGCCCATTTTTCTAGGTATTAAATCTCTGCAACTTTAATAACAAACTCTTGTCTATGAATTTTAGTGGCTTTCAGAGCTCTTCTCGGAAATGTTTCTCACTCTAATACTCATGCAGTCTTATACACAGATGTACCTACYGCTGCTACGTTTGGTGTCTGAGAGAGCACCCTTACTGAGGGTTTTTGGAACGGATCTGATTCACTGGAATCAGATCCTGCAGATCTTTACTGTTTCTATTGTTGTTAGGCTAGGGCCGCATCTTGGGGATGCTTCTGTGCTACTTAAATTCTTCGTTTGTTTTCTGTCCTGTGTGCAGGCATCAGACAGTCTTGCCTACAGCTGAGCTACACCCAGCCCTGCTTCCAGCCTTCCATGCTAGTGCTCCAGAGGGCTGTAATTCCATCCAGAGACACAATCTGCACGTTGAGGCTTTTCCAGTGGGTTTCACAAGGTTGCCCTAACCCTTCTTCAACCTTCACAGTAGRGTTCCAGGCTGCTTGAGGCAAGCAGAACAAGCCTTTAGGTCTCGCATCCTCTAGTGAGCTCTAGTTCAGCAGTCAGGGGCCCGCAGGCCACAGCTGTGTGCCTCATTCACACCTGATTCACCCATCGTCGTCCTCTCCAAGGACATTATCTTCTCAGGTGCCTTGATTTCGGGCCTTGCTCCAGCACAAGGTGTGAACATTTTCTGCCTGGGTAGATCAGCCTTGGTTGAAATAACAAAGACCTGGGCCCCACCCTCAATCTCCTTTCGTATCTTTTCCGGCAGCCTCAAGGGGAGACGTGTGAAAGGGAAAACAGTTTCAGTCACTAGAAGAGCTGGGAATGGGTGCCAGGTTGCTGGTGTTGATGTCTCTTCTCTTATGGGCAGCGCGTTTTCCCCTCCGGGACTGTGGCCAGGGAAAAGGATGGGATTTGGTGTTGGACGGTGGGGCTGAGGGTCAGGCCCCGTCTGGCCAAGCGCAACCCTGGACCTGGGAGCAGGAGCTTTGGGGATGAGCGTTGGGCAGCCCCRGCGGGGGTTGCACCAGGAGGCCAGGACGTTGGTTTGTGAAATACCCCGGGATGGACGGATCCATTCCCGCGGAGGGGCCGTGGCGCCGCTCGGCCACCCCTGGAGCCGCGGGCACGTGGGGCGACGGAGCGTTTTGGAGGGAGCTCTCCATGCGTGGGAGCATCTCCCGGGCGCTCGGCGCGATCCCCCGCCCGTCCCGCGGGGCGGCCGCGTGTCCTGGCGCCCRGAGCCCGTCCGCTCCCCTCTGCGGCTTATCTCGGCTCGGCCGGTTAAAGTCACTGGATACACAACCCCGGTCCTGGATTTCCAAACTCGCCTTTTAACCTGCAAAGCCAGAGTCTGGAGCAGAGCTGCTCGCCGCCATGAAAACAATAATTGCAGCCTATTCCCAAAACCGTAGTGGTAAGAAACTTCCAAAACGCGTTTGAATGGTTTCTGATGCTCTGGAGTGGCGAGGAGCTGGTCAGGCAATTAATGTTTGTTGTCACCATTGTCTGTTTGCTGGGGAGTGCTTAGGGGAAAGGGAGGTGTTCGGAGCAATTTGGGGTTAGCAGCACCAGAGGAAAACATAAAGTTGCTCAACAGGAATGCAATTTCTTAAGCTAATGCTGACAATGTGCTAGATAGTGTTACTCCTGCGACGTGCCGCGAAGCGCAGCAAATCGGCACGTTCTCCTTGGCGTTGCGCTGGCGCCTCCGAGCCGCGGAGCCCGCGGTCCCGCCGCGCTGCCTTCCGAAAGGTCCCCGCTCCGCCGGCCCGCGCCCACGTCCGCGGCAGGAGCGGCGCCGCGGGGCCTGGTCCCTTACCCGGCTGGCGGGATTCCACTCTGTGGTCGGGAAATTCAGGGAGTGCTTCTGGGGGGCTATAAAAAGTAACTAAAAAAAGCAACTTTTTGGTAGGCACAAATCACTAGGCAGAGCTCTTGTGTCTTCACTGGAAAAAACTACGGATTTGGAAAGTTGCAAACCACAGGGTTCCAGGGCTGTAAGATTTCTGGGAATATGTCGTGGGGCGGGCGGCAGGGTCGGGCAGGAGGGATTGTTCAGAGCGCGGCGAAGCGCTCAGGGGCACGGGCAGAGGAAAAATAGCTTTTTGATGCTCTCGATGGCTCCAGCGTTTAATTTATTGCAATTGTCCCACTTCTGGTTGGGACCGAGATGRAGTCGCAGCTCCGTCATCCCTAAACTTGGAGTTTGATGGTTATTCTTCAACTCAAGGGTCATCCCGGGAGCCGCCAGCCCAGGAGAGCACCCTGGCTCCCTCCTGGGGGGTGTGGGTGCTGCCGGCACCCCGGTTTGGGGCTGTTTGCCCCAAAACCCATGGCGGTGCCTGCGGCAGGTGGCCCCAGCGCCCGCAGACCTTTGGCCGGCAGGACGAGCGCGACGGGCTGGGGACGGGGAGGAGGGGACGGGGCTGCGCGTGGAGTTTGGATCCTGGCAGCGCCGCGGGGCGGTTAATGGTTCACGCGGGGTGGGAAGGCAGGGGGAGCGCGCCGAGGCCGGGGCCAGCGGTGTYCGTGCCCGCAGGGAGCCGCGCCAGCCTCCACGCCGCCCTCCGCACCCTGCTCACGGCGCCCTGGCCCTCGCAGCGCCACCTCCGCTCCTGCCTGCAGCTCCTCGCCGTCCTCCAGTGGGTCCTCAGCTTCCTSCTCCTCGGTGAGTGTGGCCAAGGGGATCTGGTCCCGTTTGGGGGACACCAAGGATGGGGYGGTTTCTGCACGTGCTCCGCGCTGCCTCCAACCAGGATTCATCCTATCTCATGGGAACAAAAACAGTCCGGTGTCTTCACCGTGGTGTTTGCCGGGTTTTAATGGGACATGGGAAAGTCGTGCCCAGGGGCYGGTGTCTCCAAGGAAGGGACATGGAGATGCGGCCGGGCGCCCCCTCACTCCTCTCCCATCCCCGCAGGGGTGGTCAGTCTCCTCCTGCTCATCTACCTGGTGTTCACCAGCTTCTGGCCCATTTCCGCCCTCTACCTGGCCTGGGTCATCTTTGACTGGGACACACCGGAGAAAGGTAGGGACAGACGCGGCCCCTTTGGGGACTCGGCAGCAGCGCGCAGACACCCCCAGGAACGGCGGGTTTCACGTTTCCCCATGTCACCGAGGTACCTCCGGGTTGCCTGGGACATGGTGGTGGGACCAACGCAGAGAGAAGGTGTTGGGTAGTTGGTGTTGATGACTATGTCAAAGCCTTTGTGTTGATCGGCACGTGCAGCTTGCTGGATTTGGGGCAAGGCCTCACGTGAAGAGCTAATTGTGCTCGTGGCAAAGGTAGGCTTGGGGACRTCGGTGTGGATGATGCCTCCAGGGTCCCCACACAGCACGCTGCAATGAATGTGCCAGGTCCTGTTTGCTCCTCTGGTCTTCTCTTCCCCGACCATCCCTCTCCACAGCAGACCACCCTCCCACCACCACAACAGGTCCTTCKTCCATCTGCAGATTCCACCTAGGTAGAGGAAGGCAAGCTGTTTTGCAGCACCCTGGGGTGGGTTTGCTTACCCCGTTGGTGTCTGTTCGCAGGTGGGAGGAGGCTGCCCTGCTTGCGGAGATGGTCTGTGTGGAAGCATTTCCGGGACTATTTCCCAGTCCAGGTAAGCCACGGCTGGACAAGGAGCCACATTTGAGCACAGCAGACCTCCCAATCCCTGGGGCAAGCCCAGCTCTGGCAGGAACTACCTCCAACCTCCTGGAAAACCAGAGGTGGAGGAGACGGGCTGTGAAGGGATGGTGGGCATCCCTCCACGAGGATCTGTTCCTGGAAAAGTCCTTGCCCTTCCTGTGTGGCTGATGATCTGGCGAGATGTGGCAGTCCTCTGGTCCTCTGTTGGGTGTGGAAACGCGCTCCCAGCGCCACAATGCCTGCTGGCTCCCACCAGGCCGGGCCGGTAGCCACCGATGCCCCTTGTCCCCTGCAGCTGGTGAAGACCCACGACCTGTCGCCCAGCCACAACTACATCATCGGCTCACACCCCCACGGCATCCTTTGCGTCGGGGCCTTCTGCAACTTCATCACGGGCTCRACGGGCTTCTTGGAGAAGTTCCCGGGCATCAGGCCCTTCCTGACCACGCTGGCYGGAAACTTCCGCCTGCCCCTCTTCAGGGAGTACCTGATGAGTGGGGGTGAGCGTGCCCGGGGACCACCACCAGCCCCTCGCTGCCAGGCACCCCGGGACCCCCCGCATGGGTCGCATCTCTGCTGTTTCCRTCTCTGTCTCCGCAGGTCTGTGCCCCGTAACGCGCCAGGCCATAGGGTACCTGCTGTCCAAGAACGGCACGGGCAACGCCGTGGCCATCGTCATCGGCGGCGCTTCCGAGTCGCTCTCCTGCCAGCCGGGAGTCACCACCTTAATCCTGAAGAACCGCAAGGGCTTCGTGCGCATGGCCCTGGAGCACGGGTGAGCCGGGTCGCACCGCGTGGCCGGGCACAACTGCCCGTGGGGGACGGGGGCGCTCACGGTCTGGTGGCACCGGCTCTCCCGTAGGGCGCACCTCGTGCCCTCCTTCTCCTTCGGCGAGAACGACCTCTTCCGGCAGGTGGTTTTTGAAGAGGGCAGTTGGATGAGGAGCATCCAGAAGCGCATCCAGAAGATGATGGGCTTCGCCCCCTGCGTCTTCTACGGACGGGGCCTCTTGTCCGTTCGGTCGCGGGGCTTTTTGCCCTACCCCAAGCCCATCACGACCGTGGGTGAGTATCCACGTGCGGGATGGCGGGATGACCGGCCAGGTCCTCTGGATCTCACCGTGCTTCCTTGTGCCCATTACGGCAGTGGGGGAGCCCGTGACRGTGCCCAAGATCGCGGAGCCGAGCCGCGAGACCGTGGACCTCTACCACGAGATGTATGTGCGCTCGCTGCTCAAGCTCTTCAACGAGAACAAGACCAAGTACGGGATGTTGGAGACGGACGAGCTGCGCATCGTGTGAGCGCGGCCGTGCGGGGCCCGCCGCTCCCCACGCGCAAGGGCGGGCGGCTCTTGCGGGTGGGGATTTCGGCCCCCCGGGATAGCGGGTGTGCGAGGACGGTCCCTGCGCCACCGGGGACCCCCCGGCCCCGCCGTCCTCCCCAGGTGCCCCCGCTGCCCCTCGCTTCCGCTCYGGCCTCCGCTCCAACCTCTACTCTTCCACGGCGGCTTAGGGAAGGAAAGGAAGGTGGGAAAGACGCCGAGCGAGGCAGAGGATGAAGCGCGAATGTGAGAGGAAGGAGGGAAGGTCGGCAGAGGGTCCCCGGGGTGTTGTGTGGGTGAGCGGCCGCTTCCCCGCTCTGTCGCGGTCCGGTGCAGCCGTTCCCACGGGAGGGGCCCTGGGGGGCTGCAGGAGGCCGTGACATCCCGTGGGCCGTGCTGGTGGGATACTGGCTGCTCTGTCCCAGGGCACACCTGCAATCAAGGCTTTTGAACGCGATCGCTTGCACTGTGGTGTTTGCTGTGGCAGACGGGTCTTGCACAGCTGGGTGGCCTTTCCACAGACTCATTCCTTCGGCTGACAAASGTCCCCTGGTCACAGGGCTGTGGTGGGCTATGGGAGTGTTTGGGGCATCTCCTCTCCCTGCCTCACRGGAAATGACCCCAAATTCATGTGTTGGACCAGTGCAGAAGGGCCTGGTACCACCAAACCTTGCCCGTTGCGGGGTCCCAGGACCCTCTCAGTGCAGGTGGCATCAGGGAGCAGCCCCTTCATAGAATCATTTTGGATGGAAAAGACCTTCAAGATCACAAAGTCCAACAGTAAGCCCTTCAACACCATATCTGTTAAACCGTGTCCCTAAGCGCCTCATCTACGTGTTTCTTCAACACTGCCAGGGACGGTGACTCCCCCGCTTCCCTGGGCAGCCTGTTCCAAGGCTTGTCTGCTCTCCACGCATAGAAGTTCTTTCCTAGTATCTAACCTCAGCCTTGCTGGCAGGATGGCGGCCAAGTCTCACCCCATCCCTGTCCCCAGCGAGCGGTAGGAAGCGGGACATGACATCCTTAATGGGCTGGTGTGGGAAAGTCAACAACGGTGATAATCATCTCTGGCCTGCTCTTCTTTACGCAGGAGATCTGGGTAAACATTTAGAAAGCAAACACCCATAAAGAACAGATTCCTGAGGACTCATTAACTTCCCATCACTAAGTCACCTCGGCATTTCACGAGCGTGGCTGCCTCATTCTTTAAACCCATGGAAACGCTAATGTGAACGTGGCACATGAGTCCCTGCCAGCATCCGTGTCAGATAAGGCGAAGGTACAGGCATGGAGAGAGAGCTGGGGAAAGCTTTGCTGTGYGCTCAGCAACCTCTTCTGGGGCCTGAGCCCTTCCCAGCAAAAATGTGSAGCCTAAAAGATGGGTCTGCCCGATGAGTCAAAAGTTTGATGAGAACAGCTCGTAAAGACCCATGGAGCAGCTTGTCTTGTGCCAACAGCACYTTGAGGATCAATGAGATCTTTGATATCATTACAAGATTATTTAAGCAGCGGAGCATGGTGCACGGGGAAGGGAGAAGAAGGAAAGATGCTATGTGGGTGCCCCCTTTCTTGTGAGGTCCCTTTGCAATGGTCAGATGTGACCRCCTGGTACCTCTTTCTTCTGATATGGGGAGAAACAGCTCTGGATATGGAGAAACGCACTTTATTGGTGGGCTGTTTAGCCAGGAGAGGTTCCCTGCCACCTCTCGAGCGCRGCGCGGGGACGGCGGCGGCGCTGGAAGCATCACCAGCCCTGTGCCGCGTCACTCCCTGGCCTCACCCAAGGACAATATTGTCCGGGAACATCTCTAACAGCCTCGGGAACACACGCAGGAGGCCCCAGCTGCCAGCTGGGCGTCCTGCCCCTCGGCCACGCGTGCCCAACGCCCTGCCTGCCTGCCACGGTGGCAGGGCCCTGGCCAACAGCYGTGTCCCACCTTCGCAGTCCAGCTCCCACCATCAGCCTTGGGACACTGAGGGAAGCAAACGCTTCATCTGCAGCGTGATTTGTCCTGCGATTTGTGTCCAGGAACACAGGTGGGTGGAGAGCTCAGCCCCTGCTTCTCTCTCCTCTGTGCAAGTGGCGTCCTGGTGGAGCTCAGGTAAGATCCTGGGCATGCGCCAGTGGCCAGGTCTGCGTGCCCCTAGACCCGGTGGAGAGGAGGTCCTCAGCACTGCCTAGCTTTAGAGCCCACCCGCCAACTGCACTCAACGCACTGGTTGCTCCTCATTGCCCTTACGCCAGTTGTGTCTTCTGCATGTGGCTGCTGATGTCTCTTCCCTGGGGCAGGCTGAACCTCTTCCCTCCAGGCTGAACCTAAGCAGGCGCAGGGCAAGGCCAAAGGCTTTGGCGGTGCAGAAGACCAAGGAGCACCAGGCAGGTGTAACTCACAGACACTGGGGGTGACACCATCACCGCAACCCCTCCAGCTCCCGGCACCTTCCTGTGCCTTCGTGTTGCCCCTGTCCCTCACGTGTCGCTGATGGGGTAAGTGGTAGCACGGCTGGCACCCGAGGCCTCGTCCCTGGACACGAGGGCCAGGACAGACTGGGGCCCGGGCCGGGGCCGCTGCGCTGCCCCCCGGCGCAGCCTGCCCCGGTACTTGTCCCCAGCCATGAAGTACAAAATGGGGTCGAGGCAGCTGTTGATGCTGGCCAGGGGCCGCGTGATCTTGTAGGTGAAGTTGATGATGTTGAGGGTCCGGCAGTCYGCCTGGAAGTAGCGGGAGGTGTAGTAGAGTGTCCGGGTGATGTGGAAAGGCACAAAGCAGACCGCAAACACGGTGAGCACAATGATGATCATCTTGATGGAGCGCTTCTTGTAGGAGGGCATCCGGGGGGTGGCGTTGGAGAAGTTGGATTTGCAAAGCTTCTTGGCCATCAGGCAGTAGCACAGGACAATGACCAGGAAGGGCACCCCAAAGAGGAGGGCCATGACGGAGGAGCTGTAGTGCACGTAGTGATCGAACTCCTCGGGCTTGGTGGTGTCGTGGCAAAGGGTGCTGTTGTACCTGGAGCTGATGGTGACAAAGATGAGGTTGGGGATGAGGCAGATAGTGACGACGAGCCACACGCCCACACAAATGAGGCGYGCCTGCTTGGTCTTCACCCACTTGAGGGAGCGGATGGGGTGGCAGATGCCCATGTAGCGGTGGACACTGATGCACGTGAGGAAGAGGATGCTGCTGTAGAGGTTCGCGTAGAAGAGGAAGCGCACAATCTTGCAGAGCCATTCGCCAAAGGGCCAGTTATTGCGGTCAGCATAGTAATAGACCAGCGTGGGGAGGGAGAACACGTAGAGCGTGTCGGAGACGGCCAGGTTAAACATGTAGGTGGTGGTGGCGTTCCATGGCCTCATCCTGGAGACGAAAATCCACAAGGCCCAGGAATTGAGCGGCAGCCCCACCACGAACACGAACGCGTAGGAGATGGGCAGCAAGATGAACTTGAACTCCTCATTGAAGACGCACTTTGCCTCTGCCACAGCCGTGGTGTTGCCTACGAGCCAGGAAGCAGGCGTTGGTGTCCACAGGGCAACTGGGAATGTCCTCACTGAAGTGGCCATGTTCTCAAAGCCAGATCTAGAAGAGCAGTTAATAAAAACACATTAGTTGCTGATCCCAACCATTGTCAGGCACAAAGGGTGGACGGGAGCCAAAGATGCCAGATTTTCCCCCCCTCCAGGAGCTCCGGCCACTTTGATGATTCTCTGTCTTTTCTCAGCTCTCACACTTGGGCCTCGCAGCCAGCCAAGAGAGGCTTGACAACCCCCCGCCCCGCTTCGGAGCCCCCGCAATGACACCCGTTAATCATCCCCTTTGAGGAGCGCGCGGCGACACCCGCGCCGTAGGAGGGCCCGGGAGGCCTCGGCCAGAGCGCCCCGCGTCCCCCCCGCCGCCGCCGGGCCCGCGGCCCCGCTGCGCCGCCAACAAAGGAACCGTTGTGAGCAAGAGCAGCCCCCCGCGCGCTGCCAGCGCGGCCCTTGGAAGGCAGCTCGGCCTAATTGGCACCATCCTGACAAAGCCGCTCCTCCCGGAGGGCTCCTCCGCAGAAGAAAGGCTGGAGGAGAAGAAAGGCTTGTCTGGGGGAATGTGAGGGCCCGCAGAAATCCTCGGGGGGCTGTTAAAGGAGCCTTTGGGAGAGAGTGTCCCTGGACGGCGAGGGGCCTGCGGCTGCYGGGTATTCTCTGTAGGAGAGCGATGAGCTAAGCGGTGTGGAGAGGAACAAGTCCCAGCCYGTGTGGTGTGCAGAGCCAAGTCCCAGCCCGAGAGAGTGCAAGTTCACAAGCCAGGCAGGACATCTCCCCGTTGCGCATTGTCGGGATCAAAGGCTGGGTTTCTCATCATCCCTGGCAAATGAATCCCCGGGGTAAAATGTGAGGGTGAACTATGAAATGATTGCATCTGCATCTCAAGATGTCTAAAGTTCAGAGTCCGCTTCTCCAGAAGAAAGGGGGGACTTCTACCGCAATTGTCACATCCTGCAAAGCCCTGGGCCTCAGAAGGCTTTCAGCATCTCCATTCTTTTGAGATTGCCTCGCTTCCTTGCAAAGCTCTTCCACCGGCCAAGGCAGCAAACCAAGAAGCCACAGGCAGGGTGGACAGAGGCGGCTCAACAGTTGGCCCCACAGCGATGGAGGGTAAAAGAGCGGCTGGCTGGAGTAAAACCCCGCTTAGCTCTCAGCTACTGTAAGCCCAGCTGGGCAATCTCTACATTCTGGCTTTGTCCCAGTGCACAAGTTTGGTACCAACCAACRGTTGAGTTGTTAGTTTGGTCCTAACAGCAGGGCAAAGTGAAACCTTAAGCAAGGACAAAAACCAGAGCACTTAGCGGCATTTTGAGCTCTCATGGATGTGCATCTATAGGGGTCCAGCAAAGGCTTGCTCCCGGGCAAGAGACGTTTACCAAAAGGGCAAAATACAAAGGAAAAATATAAAGCTGATAGTATTTCAGAGGACTTGAAAGTAGCAGGGCYTGGCCAGTTACAAGGCTAGGCTGCTTTTTCCCAGTGGGCTCTGTTGAATCCTGAAGTTTTAAACACAACAAAAGGCAAGGACTTATGTGGAGAGTCAGGCAAGACGGGCTGCCCTTGGAGCTGAGGTAGGTGCTTATGTGCACAGCAGTGCTGGAAAGGGCTTGGAGCCCCGATCCTCCCCGTTCTGTGGGAAAGTGGCCTGGGTCCCAAATCTGAGGTGGGAGCAGGGGTTGTCTTCTGCTGGGCTACAGCGAGAGCTGCGGGCGTATCCCAACGCTACATCCCACAGCAGAGGCTGCTCAGTTGGGTTTATGCTCGTTCAGAGCTCACCCATGAGAAGACCTTAGGACAGAGGAGGTCCCTGGCTCTGGAGAGATGACCCRTGTTGATGGGGTGTTGGTTTTGGTGATACCAGGCAAGAGGCCGCATTGTTTCCCACTCTTCTCTCTTGATTGTCTCTTCCTCCCGGCCCATCTCTCCTTTCATTCACGGCCCCAGCGTCAGGTGAGATTTGATCCGGTTTGTCACTTTGCTTTGCAGAACCTTGCCTGGATAGATTGGCATTCCTAGATTTACAGTCACGACCATAAATTAATCAGCAGGCAGATGGGCTGATAGGCAGGCGGGTGTCCGTGCCAGGCCAGGCTCTGCAGCTACACAGGCTCTGCACCATTTGTTTGAGTTCTGGGCTGAGCTGGAGCCTTGGTCCCAAATCAAACACTCTGCAATTGCTTTCCAGCTACAGAAAGTGCAGATTGCTTCACAGCTTTATTGCAGGGATGAGTTCAGAGAGCAATAGGCAGGTCCTGATCAAACATTAACGAAGGAAACCAGCTAATTCCCCCGTAAACAAGAGAGAAAACTAACTCTAGGAAAGCCTAGCAACCTCGCGGCTCTGGTACCAGCTGTGTCTTGCAGCCTTGGCTTGGACAGCCTTGCAGGAGCAGCTCCATGGGGATGGGAGAGGGTAGCAGCAGGCCTTTGGGAGGCCTGCAACACCAGGAGCTGCTGGTCATCCTGCTGAAGGGGCTATAGGGCACCCTGTGAGGGGGTAAACACAGATCACCCTCATGTACGGGCTTTAGCACCCACCTGGGAGGCACTGGAGCTACCAGGAATCAAGAGGGCTTAGCCAGACCCAGGTTTCATCCCAGGGCTGTGCCCATTCGGCCACATTTCAGACAGATGCAGGGCAGAGGTTTCCATGTGTCTGGAGCTGAGGAGGTCCCCCCAGCCCTGTTCTGTATTSGGGTAGTGGTGCAGCTCCCTTGGCATTCTTGAGTGTCTCTTATGGTGTGATCCCGGGCAACTGCTCTGCATGGAAGTGGAAGAAGTCCAAAACGGCACCATCAGTGCAGTGAGGACCAAAGAGCTTGCTCAGCAGTAAAGCTGCAGAGCCGCTGGCAGAGCTCCCTTTCTAATAAGCTTATTTCAGGCAATCTCTGACCAGATCTAGCTTGGATTTCTTCCCCCAACTTTAACCGTATAGTTATTCATTGTCCCGGATAATTGAGCAAATAATGCTGCTTCCCTCRTGGACATCGTGTGTTCTCGGGAAGAACAACCCCCAGATAAAAAGCTGACCTAGCAGGGAGTTAATAAAACAATGCAGCTGCCCCCTCCTCCTTGCCACGAGCATCCTTTATGTAAGACTGCCTCAGACCCTCGCCACCATTCGCAGATAAGCCTCAGCTGATAAGCGTGCACCTAGCGGGGTGCTCGGGCCGGGAAGTGAAAATGCTCAACCCCTTTCTGCTTGCAGAGCAATCCCGGCCCCGCAAAGCTGGGTGGTTTGCGGGACCAGGGGGCTGGATGAGATGGAGCGGGTCCCTGAGCTCTCCAGGTGGGGCTGGATGGATGGTGCAGCCAACACGTCTGCGCTCCAGCCCTGTTTGCACCGGTATCTGCTCGGCCTCCCGCTCCGGCTGCCGCTCTTCGTCCCCGTCCTCGGAGCGGTCRTCACCAGCGCCATCGAGCCCCGGTTTGGCTCCATGAATCACTTTGGCAGCAGTGTCCTTAGAGAAAGGGCAGGGAGAAGCACGAGGGGAGGCCCGGGCAGGGGAGATCCGGTTACGGAAATGCCGTGGAGAGGAGGTGTCAGCCGGTGAATTCAGCTGCCCACAAGGGAACCGGCGCGGGGCTCCTCCCGGGAACGCTCTCCTCCCGGAGCCTTTCGCAGTCGGGTGCTCCCGTCTGCTTCTCTCCCGCTGGATCTGGATGCTCCTAATGCTGCGGCAAAGGCCACATCGGAGCAAGCACTGGAGCAGGAATAAGAGGAGATGCCGGGAATCCCAGGCCCGCAATGGCAGTGGGTGCTGGGGGAAGGTCCCGACTCCATGCGGACCGGACAGAGCTCCGCTGGGCTGCGCTGCGCTTGCGCGGCTGGGAAAGCAGGGCTCGGGCTGCGAAGGGAGTCTAGAGCTGGGCAAATCTCACCTTCCTTCTGTTAACCAGTATAAATTCATTACAAAATAAAAATTTTCCTGGCAGGACTGTCAAGAAATCCAAGCACTGGATCTCCTGGTCCTGTCCCAGGCCTTGGTCCAGCAGCTGGAGCTGCCTCCGTCCTGGGTGCAGCCGGTGCTGGGGCTTATTGCCCTGGTCCAGCCAGCAGGATCCTCTCAATGCAGAGACACTGGTAGGGAGGATCGGGACACTGGTTTTCCTCTTCTAACCTCCAAATAAATGGAGCATGAAACAAAGAACTCTACCCAACCGGACATGCTGAAGGATTCAGTGACCGAAGACAAATTCCATGAAACACAGGTCAAGCATCGGGAGGAAAACACGAAAAACCCAGGGGACTGAAAGAAGGGAAAAAAATAACAACAAGAAGAGAAGAGAAGGACGGAAGGAGAAGGAGAATCCRTCCGAGCTGGGGCCGGCTCAGGTGGCAGTGCAGGTTGATGGTGGCTGCCTCCGCAAAATACATATCTGTATACAAATATGTTGAGCTGTTTATTACTGTTTATCAAYAGCTCTTAACAGTTCCTAAGAGAGTTTTCCCCAGCAAAGCAACTGAAAGACAAAAACCCCAGAGGGCTGCATTTGATGTTCTCAATCTCAACAGCCAAGGTYTCCTGCTTCCTAATCTCAGTCACCATCAGAATCAGTGGTTTAAGTTGCYCTGATTTACGGTATTGCATCCTGAGGCCATGCTGTTGTTGGGCCCGTTCACCAGGACCTTTTTCCATAGCTGCAGCCTGGAAAATCGCAGTCGTGGGTGGGATTTTTCCAGAAGGAGTGAGTGCCACGAGGGACCRTCTCTGTCCAGGAGGGAAAGGACGGAGCTTCCCGCAGCTCCGATTTACATAGGCACCGGAAAGGCACCAATGAAATGAATGACTCGGGCGCTGCAAACGCAGGAGCACAAGGTCCTGCTGCCCCAGGAGGACACCGGGATTTGGGAGCTGCCGGCAGGGAAGCGGGCAGCAGAGCCTTCCCCCTGGGAAGGGGAGCCTGGTACTCGGCTACCACCAGAAGCAATGGAAACACGGGGCTTTTCTTCTCCTCCAAACGCTCAGAAATTGCAAAACAAGAGGAAATCATGCAAAACATCCCGTGCAGGGACCCTTGTCCCTAATCGCCACGTGGTTCGCGCGGCCAAAGCCCCGGCACAAGGGGAGCGTGACCTAAATTCTTTGTGATCCCTTTGTTCCCCCGCTGCAAGAGCAGCTGCCACTGAAAGGCAGACTCGGAGTTACTGCTCCCGAGCTGATGCTTCCATCCCCCGGGAATGCTGGAGTTGCAGGGCTCCTCTGGGGCCGGATACCTTCCCCCTGGGAATGCCGGCCGAGCAGGGACTCTCGGGGACCTGATGCTGTCCGAGCTGCCCGGGGTCTCCCCARTCCCACGGGCTGCTCCTCTCCGAGGTGACACCGCTCCCCAGCGGGGTGGCAGGTGACAGGGGGGAATTTTGACTAATTTTGCCAGTTCCGCAGGGTTTCCCAGCCCCTCCTTGGGGCAGCCCCGGAGGCTGAGGGGAGAGGAGGAGGAGGCAGCACCTGGGGAGGGACGAAGGCCCCATGGCCGGTGGGGAGACCAGACTGAGGATGGACCGGCCAAGCTTACGGGGTCCCTTAGCACCCAATCAGCACCCCCGGAACCTAGAGGTGCCGCCCGGTCCCGCTCGCGGGGAGGGTCGGTGGCCCCGTGTCCTTGTCGCCCCGATGCCACCAGCTCACCTGCAGGGCCGGCGCGGGGGCCATGCCGGGCCGGGGGCCTCGAGCGGCGCCGCTCCCGCTCCTGTTCCCRCTCCGGATCCGTGTCTGTGGCTGGGGCCGCCCGAGGAGCAAAGTGCCAGGGAGAGGCAGGGCCGGAGGCGGGCGGAGGCGGGGGCAGGCGCCCGAGGCCACCGCGGCCACCTGCCTCCCTCGCTGCCACTGCCACCTCGGCCACCTCGGCCACCTCGGCCACCTCGGCCACCTCGGCCACCTCGGCCACTGCCACCTCGGCCACCATGGCCACCATGGCCACCATGGCCACAGTCACCCTGTCCCCCCGTCCCACCAGCACGACAGCTGCCCAGACCCATCCCCACAAAAGCAGCCGTGGGGCGCGGGCAGGGGGTGCCCTCGACGAGGGTTTGGGGACACCCCCCTGCATGTCCCCACCAGGGCCACCACACTGGGGCCTTGTCTGCAGCCCCTGGTGCCCCGTGAGGGTGGCCACGWGGGGACTGTGGCCACCGAGATCTCCCCGTCCTGCCCCATGGCCGTGCTCGCCGTGGGGACGGCGATGGGGACAGCGATGGGCACGGGGATGGCTCCCGCCTTGCTGCCCCCAGCCCTGCACCCATGGGGTGACCCCGCGGTCCCCGGCGCTGAGCCCTCTCCTGGGGACAAAGGTGGCCACTGCCACCTTGAGGCCAGCCCGGGCATAGTGTCCCCAAGGATGGCACCGTCCGGCTCTCATTTCTTGGGAAATACGGGTGCTGCAGCGATGGGCGGCCAGTGCGTAGACATGTCGGGGGTAAAAGCGTGGGCTACCGAGGGACATGGGCTACCCTCGAGCCCAGGAGGGGCACCCGTGCACAGGAGGGAGCGGGGATGGACACGCGGGAATGTCAAGGACGAGGCGGTGCATGGCCTGCGTTGCCCTCTGAGCCCTGAGATTTATTCCCGATCGCCAGGGCGAGAGGCACAGGACGACAGCGGCACTCCTGGGCTGGGGCAGGGAAAGGCGCTGGGCAGCAGCGGAGCCGAGCGGGGCGGAATGGGGAGGCGCTGGCAGCRGCCGCCGCTCCCGGGGCTTCCGCATCGCGCCCGCTGGAGCCGGCRCTCGGGTGTGCGGGATCCCCGCGAGCTGCGGCGTCTCCGCTGGGGTCCATCGGCAGGGCTGGGCAAAGGCGGCCCCCTGCACTTGGGTGATCCCGAGAGCACGTTCCCRCCTGCCGGGGCACGTCCTGTCCCACCTCACCCGTGATGGGGCAACCTGGGTGCTCCAAGGGGGTCTCCGCATTTCCCACATCCCTGTCCCGCGGGCCTCTCCTTGCTGGTGAGCAAGCTCCCTGCTCCATAGAAGGATGGACCGGGGATGAGGCCCAGGCCTGGGGTCACTCCTGGCGGCCGCGGGACCTCCCTGAGCCTTTCCAGTGCAGAAACGTCCAGYCGTTTGCTGGGGAGGCCAGGCAGCGTGGGAGGGCGGCTGGCTCCACGGCGAGGCCGGGACACGGTGCCGGCGCCGCTCTCGGTGCGGCGTGTGCAGCGAGACATCGGCGGTGGTGGCGAAGGCGGCAGAGGAAGCAATTCCCAGTCCCAGGTTTATCCTTGCGGCCTCCGTCCCTGCCTCCTGCTTGGAGCAGAAGCTCCCCGGGCCGCTCGTGCGCGGAGCCGCCCCGCGCAGCCTCTACGAGCTCGGCCCCGGGTAGGGTCTCTGCTGCAGCCCCTCGGCGCGGCTCTCGCGGAGCTCGGCCCGGAGGAGCCGCCGGTGCCCCGGGCTCAGCACGCCGGCCTCCAGCAGCTCCTGCTCCGTGACGTCCCTGCACAGGGCGGGGAGGGAGAGCAACCGTGGCAAGGCCACCGGCGGGGTGCAGGGGGACAGCGTCCTCCCGGTTCAAGGGCTTCCAGGAGGAATTTGGGCCTGTTGGTTAATGGTCCCCTCTTCTCCTCCCCCGTTCTCCCTTCCTCCAGGCTTGGGGCTCCCTGGGGACCCAGGGGACACAGGAGCTGGCCTGACCAGCTCCACTCCCGGGGACCGACTGTCCCTGTGCTGCGGGCTGCRGGACCTGGGCGATACCTGAGGAACTCGAGGTCATCGCAGCCGCTCTCGTAGAGCCCCTCGCGGTACCGCTCCAAGCCAAGGCAGCTCAGCCCCGYGCTGACGCTGCACGAGGGCTCCTGTCCGCCGTGCAGCCGCTGCGGGAGGAGAGCCCCGGGACGCTCCGGCAGCGCCGCCGCGGAGCACCGGGACGCATCCTCCCGCCTTTCCCCCCGTGAGAAGCGGGACGCGGGGATCGCTGCTCCTGCACCGCTCTCCCCGGCCAGTGGCCTTGTGTCCAAGTGCATCTCCCGCCCTGTTCCCCCAGTCCCCGCGCAGCCTGGCGGTACCTCGGTGGCGTGGCCGTGCCGCCGGCCATCCCGCATGTGTCCCRGCATTCCGGGGGCTGCACGCTCCAGCTCGCTGAGGTGCCCGGCCATGTGCAGCGCCCTGAGTGAGCGGTCGCCGCCGGCCGCCACCGCCGCGTCCCGCTGCAGCACTGCCGACTGCGGCCGCCTCTGCCGGCCGCCGGGCAGGGCCCCGAGCTGCTGCTGGCCGCCACGGCCCCGCGGCTCCTCCTGGACAGGCCTCGGGGCCGGGCTGCGGCACCGCGCGGCCTCCGCCTGCCTCTGGCTGCCGGAACGCTCGGGAACGCCACCGGACGCCGGGGCCCACGTGCTGGGCAGCCCCTCGAATGTGAAGTAGGCCGGGTTGGTGTAGGTGCTGGCCGCCTCGGGCACGCTGCGGGGCCGGCTCCTGCAACACACGGCGGTGCGAGGCGGCCTTAGCGCAACCGCAGTGCCGGTGCCGGCGGGGACGTGCTCACCCGGGTACCTGGCGCAGCGCACGGGGAGCTTGGGGCACGTGGGGCTGGCGGCCGCTTCGGCCTCCTCCTCCTCCTCCTCGAAGCTGATCCACTCTGCAAGGGAGCGGGGTGGTGGAGGCGGGCACGGGGCGGCGTGCGGGGAGGGCGCCCGGGCGCGCGGCGCGTTACCGTAGAGCCGCTGGCGGGCACCGCGCCGGCCCGCGGGCGCGCGGACCTGCACGCAGCCGCGCACGGAGCCCGTCTCCTCGCCGCGGTGGAACAGGAACGTCTCGAAGCGCTGGGCTGTGCTGCCCATCATGGACCTCATGGCGATGCAGCACTCGCCTGTGCCGYGGCACGCCAGGGCATGAGCATCCATCACCCGCAGTGGGACCCCGTCCAGCAGCCCCCGCGCAGGGTCCCTCCTACCAAACTCCAGCTGCAAAACCTCAGACCCAGGGTTTTTCCCCCATATTGCATGGGGAGCTAATCCAGAGCCCATGGCAGCACCCTGAAGGGGCCTGGTGGCACCCACGGCTTCGCCAAGGCCACCGCGTCCATCTCTGGCACGGGAGAGGATGCTGCCCCGGGCAGCCCCGCAGCACAGGGGGCACGCGGGGGCGGCGCGGCGGGCACGCACCGTAGGACTCGCAGCTCTCAACGCCCTTGACGCTGAGCAGCAGGTGCTGGTCCCCCAGGTACTCCGGGTCCGAGAGGATGGGGTGCAGCTGCGCAGGAAGAGCGGGTGCTGGTGCGCGCGGCCGCTCACTCCGGTCCCGGAGCAGAGCCGGGCGGGAGGGATCGGGAAGGGAGGGATGGGGGTGCTGGGGTGACGTGGAGCTGGCGGGAAGGGGCACCGGGTCCAGCCGCCCCGCGAGCCCCGTTCCCGCTGCTCACCACGGGCAGGTGCTCGGCCGCCCAGCCGAGGCGCAGGAAGCCGGCGGGGTCGCAGCTCTGGGCCGTGTTCTCCCCGCTCCGCTGGGGCTCTGCCGTGGGACAGCGGGCATGGAGGCAGCGCCAACCCGGAGCCGAGCCCGGAGCCCAGCCCGGGGCGCGCGGCCGCCCTGCCCGGYCCAGCCCACGGCGGCGGGGCCGCGTGCGCCCCGCTCACCCTCCAGGCAGGAGGAGTGGAACTCGAGGTAGCACTTGCTGCGCCCGGCGCTTTTCACCGTCACCTCGAYGCTCTCCCACTCGATGCAGGTCAGCGGCTCGGGGCTGGAGCTGGGCGCTGCTTTGGGGCACCGGTGGCTCAGGGCGAGCCGGCCGAGCACCACGCTCGCCCCAGGGCCACRCACATTGGGGCAGTAGGAGGTGACAAACCCGGGAAGGAGCAGGGCTGAGAGCTGTTCCCTGGGGTCACTGCTCCAGAGACAATTGCCAAGGTTTCTTCACCCTCACCATCACCTTTATCATCACCATCACCTTCAGCATCACCCTCACCCTTGCCCTCACCATCACTATCACCATCACCCTCACCCTTACCCTTCTTGGGCACGAACTGCGATGTCACTCCCACCTCGAAGGTGGCAAAGACCGGCGAGTGGTCGCTGGTCACGATGTCGTCCGTGCAGCCTGGAACGCAAGAAGGGGCAGCCGAGTGACGGGCACCGGGTCCCACCCCCAGCACCGCGGGCTGCGCTGCTGGCACCCGCGTTCCTCGCTCGCCACCAGCCCTGGGGACCTCGCTCACCATAGGAGTTACAGACCACGTGGGTTTCCGGGTGTGACTTCCACAGGATGCGGTCGCACCACGAGGGGACATTGATCCTCACCTAGGAAGAAGAGAATCGATGCTCCCGCAGGCTCCCGCCGGCTGCTTTCTCCCACCACCCGGCGCTTCTCCCCCACTAGAGGTTTTCTTTCTTGTCCCGCCCCAGGGTAATGGACAGAGCACCCCTACAAGATGTTTCCCTGCTGCCCGAAGCCTCTGTGGCAGAAGAAGGCCTGGCAGAGGGCTGAGCACAGAGCAGGGTCTCTGCTCATCACACAGCCTGCCGGGCACTGTCCCCAGCTGCTGTCCCGGTTTCCCCGGCACATCCTGGGCCGCTGGGCCCCGGCCTTGGCTGAGAGCGTGGCACTCACCCCCGTGGTCTTGAACTTCTGCCAGACGTAGTTGTCCCGGGAGCCCCGTTCGTACCGGTACGTGGGCGGGAAGGAGATGTCACCCTCGCCTGGGAACCGCGATGCAGAGCTGGGCTGGGGAGCCGTGGACACCGCCACGGCTGGCACCAGCCTGGGGACAAGGTCTGCCATGCTCCCCATCCTGCTGGGGCTCTCCGAGCCACACTCCAGCCCCATTCCCACACTGGGAGCAGTGTCATGGTCACATCCCATGGTCACATCCCACCAGCACATGCCAGGGGGAAGGTCAGCATCCATCCCCTGCCAGATGCACTACTCCAGTGGGAATGTCCCTGGTGCACATCGAGGTCCTTCGCATTTTTGGCACTGTGTGCCAGCACTCACTGAATTGTAGGAAGACCTTGTTCTTCTCCCGCTCCAGGTTGAGCTGGTCCACAGCCAGGAGGGCTTCAAAGTCCCTCTTGATTACATGGGTGAGGACGTCCTGGGTCAGGAGGAGCAGAGGGACGTGAGCATCCAGGTTCTCCCTCATCCGCCCCTCTGCTTCAGCATCTCAACAGGCACCCGGGGCCCTTTGGGGCTCCTCTTGGTGCCAGCCAGAGCAGGGACCCGGGGCTCCCCTGCACGCCTGCGTTCTTGGCGCCTCGCTGGTGTGGCCCTGCGCCGGTGAGCGCTCCGGCACGGCCCCGGCCCCTGCACACGCGCTCCCACCTGCACGTCCATGTCGAGGCGGTAGTTGAGGTCCCCGAACCAGAAGAGGTGGGTGAAGCGCAGCGTGAGGTCGAAGGCGCCGAGCCGCCTGTCGCCCAGCGCCAGCGAGCGCAGGATGTCGCTGTAGTTCTGGTTCCTCCTGCGCCGCGTGCGGGGACAGGAGCAGAGCGCGTGAGGCGGCCCCACCACCACCCCATCACACCCCGCCATGGGCCCGTCTGCTGGGGACGGGGACCAGCAGCTCCAGCCTCMATCTCTGGCACACAGGGACCAAAATTCCTCCCGCTCCGAAGGGCTCCGGGTGCAGCACAGCTCCCTGCCAGGCACGTGCGAGACACGTCGGGAAGCGCGGCGGGATGCGCAGCGGGAAGCGTGGCGGGATGCGCGGTGGAGCGCTGCGTGCGAGCGCAAACCAAAGCCGGGGGACGGAGGGAAGGAGACCCTTTGCTACCRCGGGGCTTTCGGGTTTTGTGTTTTACTGCTGCTTCCTCCGTGGTTCTTGGGAAAATCTCCACCGTTCCCTTCTAGCAACCTGTCCAAATGAGGACCCCCCTCGGCTGCTCTGCACTGCGAGTCCCCGCTGGGCCAAGGGGGTTTGTCCCCCCACTATGTGTCCCACTGTCACCTGTGGGTTTTCTCACTTCCTGAGGCCAGGTGGCAGTTGACGAACCCGAAGGAGGTCCCGTTGAAAAGGAAGGAGACGCCCACGGCTCCCTTGTTCCCTGCGAGGACACAGTGCAGTGGGGCTGACCCACGGCGGGCCCCGCTCCGCGCTGCCYGTCCGCCTCGGGGCAGCCCCGAGCACAGGGTGCCCCGCGCCCCGTCCCGCCGGGCGCCCCAGGGCCCCGTCCCTCCCGCACCCAGCGTGTTGGCGATGCCGGTCTTCACGCTGGACGTGTCCACGTGGCTGATGCGCCGCTCGTGCTCCGGTTTCGCCAGCACCACTATCTTGATGCTCCAGAGGCACTGCAGGGCCACCTGCGGGACACAGGGCCGAGGGGTCCCCACGGCCCCCGCGAGCGGCATGGGGTGCAGGAGCAGACAGGGGAAGAGCACATTGGGTTTAGGCACGAGGACTGCATCGCGGTGGGTGATCACTTCCCCAGCCCATCTGTGGAAGTCGCCCCGGGTTTTTATGCCACAGCCGAGGCTGAGGAGGGCAGCTGGGACCCCGGGACGTCCCCCTGCAGCCTGGACCCCACCGTTACCACTCGGTAGTCTGTGGCCACCAGCGTCCTGAGGGACGCGCGCAGGAACTCCACCCACTCGCGGTCGCCCAGGGAGCTCTCCTGCGTGCCGATCACGTAGATGTCGTGGGGGACGCGGGCGGTGGTCTCGTCGCGCGCACGCCCCAGGCCCCGCGCCGTCAGCCACGAGGCGAGGGAGCGCGGCGGCGGGGCGCTGCCTGCGGATGGGGCACGGCTGGGCGCGCGGCTCGGCCCGAAGCGGGCGCAAAGCCCCACGTGGCCCTGCGCTGGATCTGCCGCTGTGCTCCAAAACCTGCCCGGATCCAGCACTGTGCTCCAAAACCCACCCAGATCCACTGCTGCGCTCCAAAACCCACTCGGATCCATCACTGCACTCCAAAACCCACCCGAATCTGCCACTGTGCTCCAAAACCCACCCGGCTACACCACTGTGCTCCAAAACCCGCCCAGATCCACTGCTGCGCTCCAAAACCCACTCGGATCCACCACTGCACTCCAAAACCCACCCGGATCTGCCGCTGTGCTCCAAAACCCACACAGATCTCCTGTTGTGCTCCAAAACCCATCCGGATTCACCACTGTGCTCCAAAACCCGCCCAGCAGCCCGGCCTCCATGAATTTAGCGGGTCATGGCAGGACTGATGAACCCCAAAAAGGTCCCATTTGGGCTTTCTCTGGGCTTCTTGGACCAGCAAGGAGCAGCTCCAGCCCTAGGCACCCCGGCTCCTTCGGAACGCCTTGCTCCCCTCTGGATGCACTTCCTGCACGACAAGAGTGTTTCCCAGCCCTTACCCATGTTCCATGTCCCCACATACACCGAGATGAGGTCGGGCTCGTCCAGGTTGGAGTGCTGGATCTTCATGAGCTGCAGGAGCTGGCAAAAGGCCTCACGCTTCTGCAGGAAGACACGGGTGTCCCCAGAGCCCCGGRGCTTGGGGAAACGCGGCCCCACAARAGAAGCCGATGGCCAGATCTGCGGGGCTGCAGCAGGGCCACGGGGACATTAACCTCCAGGCATGGGAGCTGGGGACATTCAGAGGCTCTTAACGTCGGGATGTGGCTGAGGTGCCCTTACCCGYGCGCTCGGGAAGACCAAGTCTGTGCTGAGGCGCTTGTGCTGGTCGCGGCCGTACACCAGCCTCACCTTGCTCTGCACGCTCTGGTATTTAATCAGCTGCAGGACTGCATGCCCGTGGTCAGGAGCGGGACAAGGGCAGGGCCCGCACACCGYGTCCCGCCACCCATCCGGCTCCCCACGGTCCCCACCATCTCCGGAGAGGAAGGAGCCCATCACCCTGGTGTCAGGCCTGGGAGATCCCTTGCTGCCCTTGCAGAAGGAACCTCTGGCCCTGCACCATCCCCCGGGGACCTGCAGTGGGATGGGGGGCTCCTTACTCTTGTCCTGAGGGATGGTCTCTTCGGGGGTCCCGCTGCCCTTCTTGGTGATCACCACCGTGCCCGACTCCACGTCCACGGCCAGGGCTGCTCGCTGCGACTTGCCCACCTTCACCTGCAGCGCAGGGAGCCCCTGCAGGGCTCRGCACCCACCCCTGCTGCCTTCACCCCCCAGCCCCCCGGCTGTCCCTCCCCGGGCTCACCTCGAAGCTCTGCACAGCCAGGGGCCTGGTGGACGGCTGGGATGGCRAGGCCGCGCTGGGCAGCACCAGGTTGTGCTTGGACACCATCTCCTGCAGCGACCTCAGCACCTGCGGGAAGAGAGGGGTGTGAAACAGGGAGATGCACCCAGGATGGGAGAGGGACCCCGTGCCCTCCAATGGGCTCTGCAAGTGASAGTCCCTCTGCCCCCAAACCCCCGGCACCTTTCTCTCCAGGGAGGAGAGGAGGTGGTTGACGGTGGCTGTCTTGCTGAGGAGCAGCTCCAGGTCGGGGTCACCGCTCAGCAGGCCCTGGGGACGGAGGCAGGCGCTGGGGCGGATGCCCTGAGAGCAGTGCGTGCTCCTCGCGGTGACACGGCGCCGTGCCACCCACCTGCTCCCGCACGGGGCCGCGGGGCGCCGCGGTGGCACCCAACACCGCGGCCAGCGCCGCCAGCCCGGCCAGCGCCGAGTCCACCTCGCTGCAGGGAGGAAGCGGCGCGGGGTGAGCGCGGGCAGGGCGCGGGGGCCGCGCGCCCCATGCGCACCCACCTGTGCAGCACCCGGCACGCGGCGGCCAGCGCGGCGCAGAGGGGCCGCGGCTGCAGCTCCCCGCCGCGCGGCGCCGCCGGGTCCCGCGGCAGCGCCTGCCGCAGGTACTCGGCCAGGAGGCCCGTGATGTCGCTAGCGGGGCTGCAAGGGACGGCGGCGGCTGAGAGGCAGCGCGGGAGCCTCGTGCCCGCRCCGGGCTCGGCGCCGGCGCTACCTGCTGTGAAGCTGCTCCTGCAGCCGCAGCTGCTGCGGGATGAGGCTCCGGCCGGGGCATCCCGCGCTGGTCGGGGTGCCGCCGCGGCCGCTGGCCCCATTGGCAGCACCACAGCTTGGYGGGACGGGGCTGGGCTCGCCTGCGCGCTCCTCGTCCTCCTCCTCGTCCTCCCCATCCTCGGCGCATGGCCGGGGCACGGGGTGCAGCAGCGGCGTCACCAGGCCGCCGTGCGGCTGCTGGTAGGCGCCCACCAGCTCGGCGAGGCTGCGGAAGCGCCTGGCCTGGGTGCCCTGCACGCTCTGCAGAGGGAAGCGGAGCTGTTTGCTGCACGGGGAGCCGGTGTCGCCGGCGCGGGCAGAAAGGATCATGCAYGGGGTGCACATCCTGTGGGGCTGCAGCAGGCAAACCGCACTGCATGGTGCACGCRAGAGCCAACGCCGCCCCTGCCAGCGGCAGCACCCACCCTGCGGGGCCACCAAAGATGCCCGCCTCCCCAAATCCCCTAATCCTGCCCTCTCCAGGATCGCAACCCCCCCTCCTGCACCCCAGGGTGCTCCATTGCACGGCAGCAGGAGCAGCTGCACCCACCTGGACGGAGAGCAGCCCCTCGTCATCAGGCAGGATGCGGTAGGTGTACACGTGCCGCTGGAACCTGCCGGGAGCGCGGGGCTCAGCGCGCCTCCGAGGGCGCCGGAGGCCGGGCACGGAGCGGGGCCGAGGGCCACTCACAGGAGGCACAGGGCGTACGCGCCCGCCACGGACTCGCTGTCCCGCACCAGGAAGGAGCCGTCCCTGCCCGCCTGGGCCAGCAGATCCTCGGCCAGCACCCGGCTGATGTCCCGGTGGTACCAGGTTGTCGCTGCCATCCTGCAGCGCGACGGGCACCCTGGGACACAGCCCGGCACCGGCCCCGCTGCTGGGGTCAGCGGCGCGTCCCGGGTGCGAGGGTGAGGATGGAGAGGAGAGGAAGCGCAAGCAGCGCCGGTTGGTGASGGGCGGCCGCGGCCCGCGTCTCATGGGGACGGCAGCATCCCGGCAGGACCAGGGTTTTGCCAGGAGCTGCTGGGTGCTCCGTGCGCGCGGGTCCGTCAGGGAAGTCGCCCTCGCTGGCAAGTTCGCTCCTGCGGATGCGCTCCCCGTCCGTGCTTGTCTGCTGGCAGCTCCGGGCGCGCGGAGCCGGGCAGGCGCAGTGGCCCTGCGGTGCTGCGCACAGAGGGGCTCCCGTGGGTGCCCTGGCCCCCCGCCCGCTCCACTCGCCCGCCCGCCGCCGCTTCCTCCTGCTGCACTTCCCCGGCCGGGCCCACCAGCCTCCTCGCTGCTCCTCCCCGCCGCGGCCGCCCCGAGGAAGCCACCGCGGTCATGTGGGTCGGAGCCGCTCCGGGGCCTCTCCGTGCYCGGGGCCTCAGCGCTGCTGCACCACATCCCTGGCGCAGGAGCATCCTCGGCTCGAGGGACCCCCGGGCACAGCAAACGTTTAGGCTGGACTTGGTGTTTGAACTTTGCACAGAACCACCCTGCTAAAATATCCTGGCCGGAGTGCTTTTCCTAGGGATGCCATGCTGGGAATGGCCTGGGAATGCCGGGGGCGGAGGTGGGAGCTGCAGGGCAYGTTGCAGCCGCCGACGCTCGTGCCGGGGCGCTCCGAGCGGCAGCCGCCTGCCGTGATTATCCGCGCGGCGCCCCATTAATTACAGATGAGCAGCAGCCACCATCTGCTGCCAGGGCCTGCCAGAGCACGAGGAGGAGGAGGAAGGCCAGGGTGTCGAYGCCTTTTTCACCCTGTTCTTTCCCCCACCGCTGGCTGCTTCCATTGCGCGGTGCCCACCACGTCCCGGCTCCTTTGCACCCAGAGCTGCCACCTGCCTAATGCAAAGGGTGGGTCTTGACCAGCGCTGCAGGGCCGTGGCTGCAGCCCCGTCCCCTCTTCCTCCCGGGCCGGCCCCACCTGGGCTTGCCGCCGCGGCAGGGGGAAGCTGTGGCCTGGGCTGCCGAGAAACGCAGCAGCTCTGTTTATTTTGGGCCGGTGGTTCGGGGCCGCGCGGCGGGATTTGCATCTGCTGCCACCTGCACAAGGGACCGCGAGGGCGTGCGGCGCCAGGGGCTGCAGCCCGTGCCCGTCCCTGCCATTATTTAAGGCTGCTGCCACGTTTCCCTGTGACCCCTCCGGGCCGCCCGTGCCACCTAATCCAGCTCAGGGCTGCGGCCGCGCAGAGCCGGCCGGGCCTTTGGGAATTGCGGAGCGGCCAGGGTGCGGGGCAGCCTCCCCATGCAGGACGTGCTCGCAGGCCGCCCCACGGGTGCATATATCACCCGGGGGGCTGTGGAGGGGGGCGGTTCGTCCTGTCGCCATCCCGGCGGTGCATCCCCGTCGAGGGAGCAGGATGGTGCCGCTTTCCTCCCGGGTCTCCCAGGGCATTCAAAGTGCAGGGAGCAGCCACGCTGGGACAGGGCCCGTTGGGGCCGGGCGCCCCCCCGCCGCCCCGTGGGTCGCAGTTCACGCGTCCCCTGACCTTGGCAGAAATAGCGCCCGCTAAGCCGGGCGCTAAGCCGCTCTGCCGCGGGCAATTAGCGCGACGGCGGCCGGGCCGCGCGCGGCCTGCGCCCGTGGCCAAAGCCGGCCCGGCGGGCAGCGTGAGCGCGCTGAGCACGGGAGGCGTCGCTGCACGAGTGACGGTGGCCACAAGAGAGGCCTTGGGGAGATGGGGTGGCTCGAGAATGGGGCCGTGGGGCCATGGACACAGAACTAAGGGCTTGCTAAGGAACCCCCGATGGCTGCAGACAGCGAGGGGTGCAGAGGTGCCAGCAAGCAGCGGGGCCTCCGGATGCACCGGGAATAGGAGAGAGGACCCTGACGCCCCCGGCACCGCTGTCCCCGGGAAAGCAGAGCCAGGCTGGGCTCTGGGGTCCACGGCCAGGCGAGGAGGGGGCAGGAGCCTCGTACGGGACAGACCCCCCTGCGCCTTCGGGCGTTTTCTATTTGCAGCCACCAGCCTTGAATTACCAACGTGCTAATCGGGTCAGACAAGGCCAAGCAGCGGCGTTACGAAACGGCGGGGCCGGCGCGTGGCACTGCGGGCCACGTCCCCCTCCGCGCCGGCCACCGCCACGGCCCGAGGAGGAGCCCCGGGGGCACCGCAGGCTGCGTGTCCCCGCGCCCCCCGGCGCCAGCCACGGCTGCACTGCACCGTGCCCTTCCCTTCCCTTCCCTTCCCTTCCCTTCCCTTCCCTTCCCTTCCC